AAAAGCTTGCGCACGAGATGTACGCTTGCCAGAGCGACCTCATGTTTGACTACGCTGAGTTCGAGCGCGGCGTCGACCGCACGCTGTTCTCGGATTTGCAGTTCACACGTGCCGTGCCGAACGCTCAGCACGAGGCTCGGGGTATGATTGCGGACAAGTGGACTGCGGCAGCGCTTGCTGAGATGAGCCCTACGAACGACTTGGCAGCGCGTTACGTTGGCTACATACAACCTGAATTTTCGGGCACGTATGTGTTTGAGGTAGTTACTTCGTGCGGCGCTCGGCTCTACATCAACGACGTGATGGTGGTCAACATCGGCATGCCTGGTCACATCGGCGAAAGCTACAACGCGCAAATGCCGCCTGTGAACATTCAGGACTTGATGCGCGCACAAGCTCCGGAAGGTACCGACAAGAACTCACGCGAAATCTTCCTCGACCACCGCAAGCGTGCCAGATTTGTGCTCGAATTCGTGCACTCAGAGCGCGCTGTTTGGAATACCAACAAGCCACTCAAGATCTACCTGAACTGGACTCGACAAGGCAGCTTCCCGCTTGCAATGCCCGAGTTGGTGCCGATGACTGCGTTCACCATGCTCAGCTCGCAAGAGCCACTGCATTTGTACAACTTGCAGCCGCCTACTGCGTCTTCGATGCGCTTCGTCAGCGGCTATACTCCCGTCTTCGGCGACAGGGAGGACCGCGTGCTCGGCGATTTGCCCATCGAGCTGGACAATTCGCGTTTCCTCCAGTTGCCGAACGACTTCGTAAGCGAGATCTACTTCCAGCTGAGCGACGAAGCGACGGCATATGTCGGGCGCAAACTGAAGGACGAGAATCTCCAAGCTACTTTAGGCAAGGTCGTTACCACGTTGCAGCCCACTGCAAATATGATTGGAAGCGTTTTCCACGTCGCTGGCGGAGCGACGACGAAAGTGGATTACTACATTTTTGCGAAGATCCATCTGTCGCGCGATGAACCCCTGGCATTGCAGGTCCCGAACACGTCCGCGGGCGCAAAACAGGAGCCGCCCTTGTTGTTTTTCCGCAAAAACGAGATCGCGTCTGCCAAGAGCTGCGAAGGCGTCGAGGAACTCGTGAGCGACCCGCAGGGGCCGTACTTCTTCGGCTGCACCGCGACCAGCTCTGCGGGCTTGGGGCACGAGTGTGAGGACGGTTTTACCGTTACGGAAGCAAAGGATGTGGGCTGGGAGTCCGCGGTCGGCGGCCTGGGCCAAAGCATCACTGTGTACTTTAAAGTCCCGGTGAAAATGACTAGCTTTGTGTTCGCTCCTTTCAAACAAAACACACTCATGCCGGACACGCTGAAAGTCACGTTCAGCAACAAGACGGAAACGCACCTGAACATCGCGCCGCAAATATTTCCGCTAGTTTTCACCGTGGTCGGCAACACTTACAGTTACCGCTTTAATCCGGTTGTGGCAACTTCTGTGACGATCGTGGTCGAACAAAAGCAAGTTTCTGGGCAGCCAGCCGCCGGCAACTTTCGCGTTTACGGTGTGCCGTGCCGAGAGAACCTGGAGTTGTCTGTAGAACGCGCCCAGCAATCTACTGGTTCGTTTCAGGTTGAGTGGACCGAGTCGTTTCTGAACTTCTTAACATACCGAGAGCTTCCCAGAACTCGCGAAGCGCAAATCACTTGTTCCGCGCCAGAAGATGCTCAATGGGCTACAACGGGCCCGGGCACGGTCGCGCGCGATTACAAAATTTTTGGAACAGGGATTTACGCGCAAGACTCATTACTCTGTCCGTCTGCAGTACACGCGGGCTTTTGCGCGTTTGATAAGCCGTGCAGCTTTAATATTCGCGCGGTTGACAACGTCAAGAACTTGATAGGCTCACTGTCCAATGGCTTGATCAGCAGGCCGGTGACAAAGGCAAAATTTGGCTTCATCGTGACTCCGCTCGAGGCGAGTGCGGTTAAGCGCGCAGAAGATGTGCAAAATCGACGCACTTTCAGTTTCACGAACCTAGCGACGTTCGACCGCTTCGAAGGCATGCAAAAGGTGTACGATGCGCTCTATGCTGAGTACGCGGACGACAGCACACGCGATGAGCCCTACCGCTTTGGCTGGGTGCGTCCTCCTGATTATAGCTCGTGCGAGTACGATGGCAAGCGTGAAATCACTGTGGGCGCAGTGCTGCGCCCGACGCGCAAGGACAAAGCATTGTCGCCTCCTTCTGAGCCGCACGAGCAATCGGAAATGCTCGGCGATGCGGCGTGGGTTGTAGAAGTAGAGCCTGGCTATAGTTACACAGTGAGCGCGCTGATTGGCGACCTGTGCGCGACCGCGCAGAAAACGGTTGTGAGCACGCTGCTGGTGAACGACATTCCGATGCTGCGCGACCAGAGCATCATCGGGTCTGCGCTGCACAACTTCACGCAAACGCGTGTGATGCCGCTTAAGCGCAACTTGATTAAGCTGTCCACGGTCTGCGAGGCCACCGATTGCTCGAACTCCGCCACTACTCTCGTCTTCTTGACAATTCGGAAAGAGTCCGGGCCGCGCGTCTAATGCGACGGCGACAGCTCTGGCGCAGCGTTGCCGCTGTCGCGCGTCGCGACTTCGCGCTGCACGCGGAACTTCTGAACCATGCTAGATACTTTAACCTGGGTGCGCGCGTTCCCCGTGTGTTGCGCCGGAAGTGGCGCAGCTGCTGCGTCTGCGGTGCCGGAAGGCTCATGTTGCCCGCTAGTTTCTGCGGTCGGCTCGCTTGCCCCACTTGCTGCGGAGGACGGCTTGTTCTGCGTTACCTCGTCAACGTGTGGCACGAGGTCTCCACTCTTCGCGCTGCGCTGCTTAGCTGCGAGCTTGCCGCTGAGCTGTCGGGCGCCGCGCCTGAACTTCTGCACGAGACCGGCGAGCTCCGTTTTCACGTTTTCGACCGAGCTCGAGCGCGAGGCATAGGCGCGCAAGCGCTCTGCGGTTCTCGGAATGGTTGTCGTTGTCTGCTCTAGTTGCACTGCTGATGCAGCTGCGGGAGGCGTAGGCGCTGCTTTGCTCGCGGCGCCTGACTCCGAATCAGACATCCCGACCGGCGCGTCGGAAAACTCCCAACTCGCCTTCGAAGGCTTCTCGTCGCGTGTGAGATCTACCGAGTTGAGTGTGCGCGGCGAGTACGTTTTTGCAATTATTTCGTCGACGACTCGCTCGTACACGGAGTCTTCATCGGGGACGTAGGAGACCTCGGGCTGCGCCGCGCTTTCGGCTTCTGCGACGCGCGTGAGCGACGTGGCGCTGGCCAAAGATTTGGAGATCATGCGCCCGAAGTTCTGTGCGTACGGCTGCGCTACGTCGTGCGGCGAGGTGAAGTCGTGCTGCCGGCCAGTGTGGAAGTAGTCAATGGTTTTGTTGATAGTGCCGGTCAGTGAGTCGTGTTCAGGAACCCGCGCAGGCGGGCGCGCCTCGTCAGGCGTGACGTGCGCGAATACTGAGTTGTAGCACGAGAGCTCGCTGAGTGCGCGCGAACCCCATGCGACGCAGTGCCCGACGCAGCTGCCGATGCAGTCCGCGCCTTCGAGCAGCAAGCGCGTCACGATTCCATCTTCTTCGCTCGGCAGTTTGACAAGGTGAGATCCGAACCGCAGGTTGTCGACTACGCTCTGGCTTTGCAGAACCGGCGGGACTTCGGCGCCGCTCAGCGCTTGAATCGCGCTCTGCGTCGAGGCGCCGAGGCGAAGTGCCGTCTCTCTCTCGACTCTGCACATGCATTTCTTCACGTCGAGCGCCTTCAGTAACGTTTGGCCCGTAGGCAGCTTTACTGAATAGTCCGTCTTTTCGTTCTCGTAACAGGGCTCTGTGGCTGTCAGCACCAGCGGCGGCACGCGGTGCAGCTCCGGCGGTGCCGCGCAGCAGATCTGATCCGTGCAACGTGCCGGCGAGGCGTACGCGGGTTGCAAGCAAAAGTTTACTCCTTTTTCTGTCTTGCGACTGACGCTCACGCCGAGGGCTACGGCGCCGTCGTTGTGAGAGCACCTGAAGTCGAGGCCCGGGTTAAGCATTCTTTAAAAAATGAGTAGCGCTTGCAGCGCGTTCTACGTGCAGTGAATTTACGTAGATTTGAAGCGCGCGCCAGGCAGCGAAATTCGTGAAGAAGTTCGCCGCGGCATATACGACTAAGCTCCGATGCACCACGCGACCGCGATCAGCGACACGTGAGTGATGAAACAAATGTGCGAGAGGCCACGAAAGTGCATGTGCGCCTACGATAAAATTGTTACATTTTTCAGCTGATTAATCATGGGTTGCAAGAGCTCCAAACCGGTGCATACCACGAGCGGACACATTCTGGGACGTTTTCCAGATGATGCAGTGAAGAGTCTCAAAGAGTCTAAGAACGAAGTGGTCGACATGGTGAAGCAAGCGTCGGAAAGTCTCGCGGATACGGTAGACAAGGCGCCGCTCATCCAGACGAAGTCCATCAAAGAAGAGGAAGAACTAGAGAAATCGCTGCAAAACGTCCCCGAGCCGCTTAGCGACAAAAAGCCGGAGGAAACCGTTGTACTCAAGAAAAGTCAGTCTCGCGGCGCAGCTTCCCTGGTCAGTGAGCAGCCGGCTTCTACAACGGCCGTCGCTCCTGTCGTCACCGAAACCACCGTCGAGGAAACCACAGTGAAAGTGGAAAAAACCGTAAATTAGTGTCTTTTTCTGACATAACTTAGATTCCGACGTTCTTTGACGCTCTCTTAGACACGGGATGGTTGCGCTAGCACGCGCAGCGAACGCTGTCTGCACAACCGCAGGCTATCGCCCGCAGTTTCCAACTATCGATCTACTAAGCTTACCATTTGCCGTTTTCTTGGTACACGTGCCGTAATAATGCATATCTCTCCAGTGCAAATCTGCTCGCTTTGTCAGCGATTCGCTGTCGGACGGAGCTGTGAAAGCGGAGTAATGGCACACAAACTCTGCGTTAGCTGCGGCGCGCAACCTACTCGTTATGAAGCTTTCTTAACTACGTGCACTGCTGATCCTCACCGTTCTGTTGTGTGGAACGCGGAACAGTTTCAGGCGGTACGGGCATTTTGCTCCGGAGTGACTAAAACGCTATAGAAGTGAGAAATTTTTCGAAGGCGGTTCGGAGTTACGAAATAGTCGAGAGTATGTATCGGTCGCTCATTGACTCCATTGATGAATTTCTATACCGTGTACTTAGGAAGGTAGTAGTTATCAACGTGCTAGTGAAATGGAAAAGGTTGCTACGTAAAGCTCATGGGTTTCTACCACATGCCGTTCCTCATATGATAATTGAGTTTCGTCCCAAAGCATTTGTGCGGCTTGAGTTAAATGTAGTCGTGTTTTTTAAATCGAATCAGATAGCTCCGATGGAATCTAGCAAGTCCGAATTCTCGAAGGTCACCACGAAAACGTGTTGTGACGATAAAGGATCCTGCAATAAGCTTTGCAAAGAAACCCAGCAGGTGTACAACAACGGTGCTCACAGCCTTACTTCCGAGCGAAAGGAAGAATTCTGTTCGCCGTCGGAAGCCTGTGGCAAAGACAAGTACTGCCCTGCAACGCATCAAAAGTGCGACAAAGACTGCAGTGGCCAGAAATGCTCTTACCTCGAAGCGTTGCACCAAGACGCGGCTGGCCTCAACGGCAGTCGTGCGGACACCTGTCCGAATGGTAAGTGCGGAACTTCTGCTAATCGTTGCAACAACGCGGGTTGCGAGAAGAGGGACTACGAGTTCACAAAAGACGTTCAGCACGTCGGAAACATGGCCGGCAAGGCTGCTCACGAAGTGAAAAAAGGTGCGGAGAAGGTCGGCGAGAAAGCTGCTGAAACCGGCGACAAAATGTATGCGGGCATGAAGCACGGCGCCCAAAAGCTGGGCGAGATGGCTGGCGACGCTGCGCACGGCGTGAAGAAGGGCGCGGAGAAAACCGGCGAGATGGCCGCTGAGACCGGCGACCGGATGTACGCGGGCATGAAGAACGCAGCGCACAAGCTCGACAAAAAAACTGAGGCTTCTGCTGCGAAGTTCAACGAGACTATGGGCGACGTGCGCGAGGACGTTTCGCAGCTCGGCAGCGCCGCCGTGAGAACCACGGTTGACGGCGCTGAAGCGGTCGGCGAGGGTGTCGCCACGGCGTTCACCAAAGCCAAGCAGGTCGTCTCCGGCGCCATGCGTGTAATTCGCCAACACACGAACGAAGCGCTGGACGCGTTGAAGGAGACGATGCCCGCTGCCGAAGTTGAAACTGAGCACAAAACCACGCGCATCAGTAAAACTCCGCGTGAGGAAGAACGACAATACGTCGCACGCGACTCCAGTCACTTTGAGCACCGCCCGCTGCTTGAGCAAGACAACCGCAACGCTCTGAAGGCGCATGCGCTTACGATCCGTCGCATGGGCGAGGAGGCAGCCAAGAAGGCCTCTGAGTTCAGCTATGAGCCTACGCCGCGCGCTGTTCCCGACGAACAAGGCGTCTACGAAGTCAACCCGGCGCGAAAAACGGCGCCGGGTGGCAAACCAGCACACATGCCCTCGTGCAACAAGAACAAGTGCTGCACCCGCAAGATGTGAACATAAAAATGAATCCTTAAAAATGAATCCATAAAAATGGATCTTTCTCTAGAAAATGGATAGTCTGCTACGCTTCTGCGTCAAGGTTCAGTAAAACCGCTTCCTTTGGTGTACTTGAGAAGCGCCAGATTCGGCGCAAAGTCTGCTTTTTGCAAAAATGATTTCTCGTCCGCACTGGAGTTCCGTAAACCCCGATCGTAGCGGTTGATTGTGTTCTGCGGCGCGCAGTGCTAGAAGCTGTACTAAAAATATCAGATAACGCAGTACACGAAAACGTCACCTAGATTCGCTATACTTGTGTTGCTGAGTAACCACGGCGGAAAAAGTATCATCCTCCGCACTGCCGTGCCAAGAAAAATTGTTGAAGCGATTCCAAAGAGAGCTATAAACGAGTTGTGCACCCACGCGTGCTGCGGTTTGAACAGTTTCTGACGCTTTTTAGAATTCATGTGCCGAGAAGATAATTTTTCAAATATGATATTACCGTTTGCGATTACGGAGCAGTGGCTGAAAGACGCACTGGCAAAGCACGGGATCACGGGCCGCTCTCTCAAGGATATGGAGAGGACCTACATCACGTCGCTTTTTCCAAGTGCGCAGATGCAAAACTATGTGCAGTACTGCATGAACACGAAGAGATCGCTCACGACCGAGCCAAGCAAGCTCGAAAAGCCTGCGCACACGCACCAGCACAACCTGGGTTCTGTGAGCAGCGATGTTGCATTTTACGTGCAGAAGTTGTGCTCGGCCGCAGACGCAGAGGAGAAGCGGAAGCAATACGACGAGATCCTCGACTCTATTTTTGAAGACTACACGTCGCGCTGCAAATATTTCGCCGCCGACGCTGGCCCCTACTTAGATTTTGTCTGTCGGATCCTCAAGAGCAATGTCGACGGAATTCTTTTCTTCTCTGGCGTGAGCAGGGATAACAGTGTGCTACACTATTTAGAGTCGAGAGGTTACCCGCAAATACGCTGTGTATTTCGACGCGACCCCTTCAGAGACGACTACCGCGTCACGTGCGTAGGCGAGCCGGACAATCGCTTCGCCAACCGCATGTTACTGCACGAAGATTTGCGCGGCAAGTCGCTTACAGAGCTTAACAGAATTTTGGGCACGACGGCAGAACGCTTCTTCGTGCACAACACAGGATTTTTGTCTGCAACTAATTCACTTGAGGCGCTTGTCGCCGCGTATAACTACAAAAATCCAAAACCGCTGCGCATTTCGATTAAAGAAATTGAGCGCTTGCTGGCCGCCAACGTCTGTCCGTGATAGGATCGCAGCTCGCAGCAATAAATTATAGACTTAATCGCTATTTTTTTCTACGGATTGTTTCCTCGTACGGGCGCTAAATGAGCCTCGGCCCTGGCGGGGACGATGAAGCCAGCATCAGTCTGCCGTTGAACATGGACACGATTCGCCGCCGTTACAACGCGGTCAAAAAAACGCTAAACCTCGTCGCAAACCAGGAAAATAGCAGGCATAACGGCGAACACCGGCTCAGCAGTGGCGCTCCGCGCCCCGAAGCGCCATGCGTTGCTGAGGAAAAGTCTCCGGAGGAGTTAATTGACGAGTTGCTGGTTTACTCGAACCTTGTCACGCTCTCGCGCGCCACGGTGGCCGATGAGCTCGGGCAGGTGCGCAAGTACAACGAGGAGCTCGAATTGCTGCTAAAAGGCAGCCAGGAACGCGAGAAAAGTACCCTCGCGCTGCTCAACGAGTACCGCACCAGTCTGGAAGCTCTCGGCCAGCAGCTCGGCGCCGTGCGCGAAAGTGCGCAAGCGCTGCAGGCACAGGCGGAAGAGAAGCTCCGCGACGCGAAAGCAATGCTCGCGCAGGAAACGAGCCAGAACAGCGTCAACAGGACAAACCTGCTGGTATTGCAAAGCAAGATAAGCGCGCTTGAAGCAGAACTCGCGAAGTACCAACAGATTGAGAAAACTCCCGTGCATGACGAGGCAGAGTTACAGGAGCTGCGGCTCCAGGCGCTCCGCCATAGCAACCGTACGGCGGAACTGGAGCAGGAAAACGCAAAGTAAGTTTGATCGGTGCTCGCGTAGACTTAAGGCGGAAATCACGTCGCTGCGGTTGCACTCCGCGGGCGACTGTCAAGAGTGCCAAGGTTTGCGATCGAAGCACGCCGAAAAAGCTGACGAGTGTGCGGCTTTGAAAAAAGAAGTCGAGCGGCTAAGCGGCGAATGCCGCGAGTTGCAAGGTGTAAGTAATCGGCGTTCAGATCTAGTACCTGCAAGAGATTTTTGCGCGGTTATAATTACCGCAAATTCCGGTTTTCCGCTTAATTTGTTGGCGCATCGCGCCGCTTTTTTATTCGCCGCGCTCCGTTTGGCCGCTTCCGGCGCAGCGACTCGGCATGGAAAAGTTGGTCGAGGAGTCGAACGTGCTACGCTTCATTTACGAGGAAGAAGGCTACAGCGCTGAGCAGTCAAATGGGGAATTGCGCGCGTCACTTCGCTTCAAGCTAGCCAACGCTGACGCAAGCAGCAAGCCGCAGATTTGCGACGTAGCGCTGAGCTGTCAACTCTGCCGGCTGCCAACCGACCCGCACTGCACGGCAGAGCTGCAGAGCTGCTTTAGACTGCAGTTGCGCGGTGACAGCCCGCAGGTGCGTGCAGCAGCCGCTTGCGCGGACAAGATCTTGGCGGAAGCGCTGAAAGACCTTTCGGGTTATGATGACGTACTGTATCGCATTCTCAATGCGACGCATCAGCATCTGCAGCCTGAGACTAGCGAACTTTGTGCCGAACGCGCAGAAACGTGCAACGCCACCGAGCCGACTTGCGCAGAACCGGGGGTCGCCAGTGGCGCAGCTGCTGACGAAGACTGCGAGCAGAACGCCGCGCAACCTGCTAAACACACGCTGCGTGCGACGGAGCCCGGCACGACCTCGCTTACGTTCGGACCGCGCAAGATCGCTGTGTACCATGGCAAGGTGACCACGGTCAAGCGCAGCACGTTTCAAGCGCACGTGGCGCGCGTCGAGTCTCGCGAAGATGTGTTCGAGGTGCTAACGTGTCTCAACTCGAATAGCCGATTCCGTAGAGCCACGCACCGCATCGTGAGCTACACGTTTCGCGGCGCTGCGGACCGCCCGGTTGCGGATTATGATAGCGACGGCGAGGAAGGTGCCGGCACGGCTGTGCACTGGCTAATGAACACGCTGCGCGTTACGAATGTTGTGGTGATCGTGGCGCGTTGGTTTGGCGGGATTCTACTAGGGCCAGATCGCTTCAAGATCATCAACCGCTGCACGCGGCAAATCCTGGAGGAGCGTGGGCTGATAACTGTCGTTAAAAAATAAATTGAAATCGCTCTTCGAAATTCGGCGAGCGGCGAGAATCGAGCGCTTCGCTTTTTGAGGTCCCTCGGCTGCGCGCTTTCACTGGCGACTTCTACTCGCGTCGCGTTCGCGCTTCGCGATGTTGGCTAAACTCGGTGTCAGCCCATCCGAGCTCGAGCTCGAGGTTGTGAA